TTTGATAAAATGATTGAGTTTGTCAAGATAGATGGTAGACTCTGATGATTGAACTAGTCAATCTTGACGGTAAACTTTGATGATTGAGCTAGTCAAGATTGACAATAGATTATGGTATTTGAGCTAGTCCATCTTGATAGTAAACTCTAATGATTGAGCTAGTCAAGATTGACCATAGATTTTGATATTTGAACTAGTTTATTTTAACGGTAAACTTTGATGACTGAGCTAGTCAAGATTGACGATAGACTCTGGTATTTGAGATTATCCATCTTGACAATAAACTTTGATGATTGAGCTAGTTAATCTTGACGGTAAACTCTGGTGATTGAGCTAATCAAGATTGACGGTAAATTTAATCTAGCGGATGCGTTGGTCAAAGTTATTTCCATAAAGAGTTTCATGCGACAAAGTGCTATCATGCAGGTTGTGCATAAGGAGTAGAGTTAGAGTTTACTAACATAATACTTTCAGTTATCTCTATGTTGTGATGGCTGCAGCTTAGTTCTAGTTAACTCTCGTGTAAAAAGAAGCCTTGTAGTAGGTTTCTTTCTAAAACTTATCGCGGAGTAATTATATATGTTACGAGATTTTTGTTCTCTCTATACTAGCTGGATTATAGTTAACTCTTTATGTTATCACTCTATCTTGCTATGGCCACGGTTTAGTTCTAATTAACTCTTTTGTAAAGAATGGCCTTATATTAGGTTTTTATCTAGATTTTACCGCGGAATAATAATGTATATTATAGAGCTCAATGTTCCTTAACTCACGTTAAGGAGAACATTGTTGAGGTTAACTCCATGGAAGGAGTAACCTCGGATCTAGCTATTTATAGTTAGGATAATCTCCTGGACTAGGGATAAATACCTCGGAGTTCTTCCTGTATGTGGTGTCTTTCTCAAAAAAACCTGAAGTAAAGTAAAGAATGTTCTTGGCAGACGTAGCACTCTTCTAGGGTGAACCACGTTACATCTATCTCTCATGAGTGTTTTAATGTTTTCTCAGTTTTATCGCTCACACATCTCACATATAATACTATATGTTAGAATCATACATTTTCAAAGCAAAAAAATATTGCTTATAATATTAATGTTCAAAAAATGATAAATAAAAGCTATATAATTGAGTTTTTTGTATCAAATATATGATCATTTATAAAACTTACTTGATCACATATTATTAAGGTAAAAGTTTAGATTTTTGCATTTTGAATCTACAACATCTTTTAGATATTTTGATAGATGTTTGATGAACACATGAAAAAAGTTTTGTCAAAAGATTTCTCTTTTCTCATTATCAGATTAGAATTTTGATTTTTTATTACATTTTAAAGATATTTTTATGAACATGGTTATATAATATAATCCGTAGAAAGTTCAAAAATTAGAAACATACTTGATGAATGGACAGAAAATCGTTCATTGATTGAATCCTTTTCATTAAATTTTCTATAATTAATTTTTTTTATATCTAGTGTTTTAAAATCTAGGGAATTTTTTGATGATTTGGACATGTAAAATGATATTCATAATATTTAAATATTTTTTTGAAACTCTTTTCGAATATTTTCTCATTAAAATTATGATAAAAGATAGAAAATCTTATTTTATGTCATAATTATGTCTTAGAGAAGTCAGAGTCCCGACGAGAGGCAACCACGTCGAAAAAACTTAGTCCCTGGATAAGAAATGGAATCAACTCGAAGAAGGTCAATACCCTTTTGACTACAGCCGTTGTTAGGCCGAATAAAATTTCCATGCAAAATGCAATCGAAATTAAACTGTGACCTCATATTTAAGTGGAATATTATGAGTGGAATGCCCGAGTTGCCTGATTCAAGAAGGCGAACCTGGAACAACCCAACTCATGCTCTGCGAATACTGTTGTTCTAGTTGTCGTACGATGTCTACTTTTGTTGTTGTCGAGCATCATCCAGCCCGTCCTCATCTTTCATTTTCTAATTCTGCAATAGAGAGGCTTGGTGGTTGCCTTGCTACCACGCGCAGTTTCAATGCAGCGACCATCCAACTTGGCCTTATGCAGGCCGTTTGGTGCCAACTCGTCCTCCACTCCCAGATGTTGACTAGTGGTTGAGACAGCCTGCAGATCGGCAAGTTGCATCATCAGACCTCACCTCCTGATCAGGTTCAAAGAATCAGACGGCCGTGGTGCTTGTGACTCTCATTTCAGCAAGTAGAATCCTTTCGTGACTCATGGAATGGAAAGTTTCCTCTTCTTGATCTCCTTCTTACGCATGAACTTTCTGGCCACAGAGAACAACCCAACGATACCCCGAACGCTGCAATGAAAATGGGCTGCGTGAGGATCAAGGGGATGAGTGGGGCACCAGAAGTTGACTCAGAGTTTAGGTCTTGAATTTCATATAGATCCATAGAACGGAGAAAGCTTTCTGTTATAGAAAATGTCTTCGAATCTATGAAATGTGGACCAGGAAAGAGTCTATGTCAAATGATAAAAGCACCAAAAGTTGCAGATTCGGGTCTACAAAAGCAGGTACGTTGTCGAGGTTGAGGGAAACCGTGGACGTAGTTTCAAGCAAAGACTTCGAATCTAATATGATAAACTGGGAGAACCATACTACACAGCGATTAGGTTATCCCAAAATATTACATTATCTTTCCAATACCTAACCTAAGGCAGAGGAAAACAAGTTGCAAGTGCTTTGCAACTTGGTTTCTAACCCCCTAAAGATTTATACTTACTTTTTCAAAGTAATGGTGATAAGACTCATTCATAACAGACCGTGCCGAGAAAGCAAAAAATATATTGATATTGAGTGAAGTTCAAGTTGATGTCAAGAAATGCAAGACTGCATCTTAGCAGGCAAGATGTCGAAATCTTTTAAGTGATCAACATTGCTACTCCGTGTGGGCCATGCGCGACACAAGAATGACTCACAAGGATAGCCAGCACTGGCCTCAGAGTCAATGTGAGACGTAAAGAATTTCGTGGGCTTGATTATACCCATGTCACGGGGAGGCGACCAGTCCACTTGCAGAGAACTGTCTGATCTGCAGCCAGAGACCTGGTTATAGCGAAGCCTGCTAATCTTATTCCGTCCCGCGTTGATATTCTGATATCTCTAGGCCAGTACACGAGATGGAGAATTAGTAAATATTCAAATGTTGAACTGAGACTGCGTATGACTTTGAACCGACTCATGAGGCAACCTCATGTCAAACTATCCCAAAAAAAGACTAATCGGTGTTTTTTCTTCGGATTTACAAGAACTGTGTGCGCAACAATGACACGAATTTACAAGTACACGGTACAATATAGCAAGGTGTAGCTTCCGCAGACTTGACTCACTATATTTATTTATTTATTTATTTTTATTAATGTCCAAGGAGCAACCTACATCCTGACTGTATATTGTTCGCGGGGTATGAGAACATATCTACACCTCTATGATTTTCAAAGCTATAGTTGTTCGATTGGTGTTTCAGTACAATTCTATCGTGATTTAAAAGCATCGAGTGTGTAAATGTCTACGTTACACATCACTATCACACAACATAATTGTTTCAACAACCATCGAATGCTCAGTCGTTGAGGTAAGATCCATCTTACTGGTTAGGAGTTGAAACATGTCTGGTTTGAGGCTTTCCTCCGATCTTAGGTCGAATTAAACTTTACGGTCCTCAATCCGTTAGAAGGTTTAAGGGATTTTGACTATGTTGGCAATCAAACCAAGAAAAACTCGATTTCTGGATATTAGTTTACATATTCATAATCACATGTTATAAGTTGTTTTTCAGAAAGAAAATATTTTCCTGGGATTTTTTATTTCATGGAGTCAAATATGTGACTCGTGAAATATGTGTAACTAAATTTACATGGATAAAGATTCGAGTTGAACACTTTGTACACACTGTACCAGTAATCGATTTGATTATTTTTATGGTGATCTTTTTTCACAGATAACCTTCATTCTCTCGAAGTCGAAACAAATACTTCCATCAACCAAAGTCCTATTTCAGTACAGGAGCTAACTGTCTGTGCGTATTCTATTGGCGTCTACCCGCAACCTCGAGGGATTTTTGCGCTACCAATAAGTAGTGTTCGTGCGGATACTCATGCGCTAACCGCCAGTTTGCCCAAAACAACTTCTGGAAAAAAATATTTTCTACGAAAAAGTATTAGATATGAATAAGTACCATGTATACTAGAGTACATATACTGGAACGTAAATACGATGGTTCGAATACTCCTTAGCCCACTCTAAGACTCTACTTCCCCTGGTCCACTAAATCCTCTAATAAGTACACAAATATATTATAACCTTTTTAAAAACAACGTAGATGGTGCGAACCATGAACCAGTGGCAAAAGTATAAACTTTTGTTGAAAGAAGTCAAAGATAGATCATAAAGTATGTATGAAACGATAAGCCTTGCCTCGGTTTAGACGGCGAGTAGGGTAAGTTTCGAACTCGTGTCTATTAACCATCGAGAGTTCCGGGATTTGTCCGAGTAACTTACTTGGCCTGGCTCGTACGCTGTTCGAAGCCAGGATTATGTTACTATTATATTTAAATTTAAAATAGTATTTTTCAATGTGGATACAAATTTTAAGTAAATTCTCTCCCTTAGCATTCGAGGTTATAGGTGCAATTCCCTTCAACGACAAGTATAATTTAAATATTTCGCTGCGTTCACTTTCGTCGTACCCATATTCTGGAGATTATTTCCCGGACCAAAATTTATCTCTGAAATGTAATCTACTATCATGATAAGTGCCAAGTGTCACTCATGGAAGTTAAAACACACCGTGCCTAGTGTGACAACTGAAAGTTACTCCAGGAACCGTGCCAAGTGTAACTTCTGTACGCTGATCATGTCATCGTCGAGAGGTACAATGCGTGCATGCGGAGCGGGCAGTGAGAGAACCCAACACCTCCTGCTCAAACATATATGTCGGTACTGAGAAGCACCATGTAGGAATCTCCATCTTCAGACACCTGCCGGGTCCGGTATATTTGACTTGGAGACGGAACATGATCCCTAAGGCCTGCACTTTCTGAAGCATTGGCGTCGGCTGCACAGCGATACATTCATGAATGCTCCATCAGGTCGGTGGCATCATCAGTCGCAACCGTACGCATGCAGCGAATAATCGAATCACTTGACTGTGAAAATGGTCTCCGAGGCAGATTCATATGAACTACTCGCATTGCGAATTCCATGCTGCCGTGCGCCTGCGGAATCTAATCTACCGCATCTACTTAAGAAAGGGTTTAGGAGGCATCCACTACTTCACTTCAACAATTCCATGAATCCAATCAAGAGTTTTCTGTGGCCTGCTTGAAGCATAAGAACCCAGTACAGCGTAGCAGTAGTTGATCTGCTTAAGACCCTCATCCGTGTATCGGTGGCCTTCTTTACACTGGCCGGCAAAATCGAGCTCAGAAGCGTTGTGACAGTAGAAGCTCAAGCAGCGCAATACAACGTAGGTTCCGATCTGTGTTACGTCTTCAACTCGAGCCGGGGATCCAAGCCTTATAACATAATTCAAGCAACCAATCGTCCACGATGATGGAGATGCTAAATTTCATTTACACAGACATTGTCAATTTCTTTCTTCCGTCTATGAAGTGGTCGATAGTCTTGGCGTCGACCTGCACGGTGTTGACATCATTTTCTGTAGCGCAATTTCTTTTGTGGATCAAGGGCAACAGGTTGCCGAGGCATGGAAAGTTACCTCCAGGTCCGCCGTCCTGGGGGCCCCTCGTGGGTAACTTGCCGCAGTTCAGGACTTCCATGCGTACCCCACATGTCAGAGCGCAAGAGCTAGCCAAGACGTACGGACCTGTCATGAGAGTCCAAATGGGAGGCAAAGTTCTGATCTTCATTTCCGACCCGAAGATTGCCGACAGGTGCTTCAAGGACAACGACCACAACTTTGCGAACCGGCCGTCCATTGCCGCACAGAAATATCTACTGTATGGAGGAGATCATCCTTGTAAGAATTCTGTGACTCTTACAGTAGAATTGCATCTCCAAAATATACTGACAAAGTCTCTCAAGAATCTGTTGCATTCAAGTCGATGACAGTTTTCTGGATCGAATCATTGTGAATTATGATTCATAAATCTTGAGTTGGACAATAGGCTTCCATTTAATTGGGGTACTGTCTGCAGAACTTTTGACGAGGAGATTCATTCCCAAATTAAATGAATAAATGTTTTGAAGTTTTTATTTTCTGAGATCTTAGCAAGTTTACAATTAATGATTTTCCTCGAGAATTGCTGTCATCTAGTGGAAAGCACCTTACGTTTTCGGAGGAATTCTCGATGATAGACCATCGTTTCGTATGCTCAATTGACTTGAAGGAAAAGGATTGAAGGGAAGATTTAGTGAAAGTTGGACTAGGGCGAATTTAGATTTTGTACAGATTCCAGCGTTCATTTCGTTCAGCATTTCATTCTGAGAGCCATTATTGATTGTTCGGCGTGTATTGTCGTTCGTGTCATCTCAAGAAGCTTTGGCTCCGATCGGAGACTTCTGGAGATCGGCCCGAAAACTCTATACAACCGAACTCCTCAGCGGCAAGAAGCTTCAGGAGTTTCAGGTGGTGCGGAGCGAAGAAATGGGTCAAGCTGTCCAGGACATCTATGAGGCATCAGCCCGTGATGCAAGCATCAATATGCACGACTTGTTCACAAAGCTTTTCACGAACGTGATCACTCGTATGACAATGAGCAGACGGTTCTTCAATTCAGCAAACTCGGCAGCCAAAACCTTGAACGAAACAGACTCAGAAGCCGGGAGCGGAAATGCTGAGCTCAATGATTCCATGGGCAACGAATGGCAGCAGCTGATTGACAGCAACCACGAGCTGATGACGCGACTCTTGCTGGAAGATGTCAGCCCTGCTCTGGCATGGGTGGACATATTGACGGGAGTCAGACCGAGAATGCAAAACAGTTTCGCTCGAATGGACAGACTGTTGCAGAAGGTTGTGGATGATCACAAAGCAGAGCTGTCCAGTCGAGAAAAGGACTCAGAGAATTTAGACTTCATTGATGTTCTTCTCATGCTTCGAGACAGCAGCAAGACACAGTTTCTCAGCGACAGAACAATCAAAGCTTTCTCGCTGGTAAGTCAAATCGAGTGCAGATTCATCTTCTGCTCAGCCTGTGGATCCAAAGTTGTCCTTTCCTGGATCGATCGATTTCGAATCGCATGATTCTCCGATTTCATGAAGATATTTAACTACAAATGCAGCTGAAATTTAGATCTGAAATGTCAAGGGAATGTGTGCTTTCAGGATACGATCGGAGCAGCCAGCGAAACTTCAACCGTGACGTCAGAGTGGGCGCTTTCGGAGCTTCTGACGAATCCTGAGGTGATGGACAAAGCTCGCGAGGAGGTGGACTCTGTGGTGGGCAAAGATAGAACCGTGCTCGAATCTGACCTGCCGAACATGCCCTACATCCGGGCCCTAGTCAACGAAAGCTTGCGCCTCCATCCACCGCTCCCTTGGCTCGTCCCCCACACCAACCTCATGGACTGCACAGTACGTTGGCCGCCATTCTCTTTTAACATCCAACGGAGCTCTGCCTCGATGAAAAGTTTTTCGCATCACTTGCATGCATAAAACTAGAATCCATTGAAGACCCAGATTGATAATTGTCATATGCATTCTTACTTGTTTTAACCATTCGGACCTTGTTGTAAGAATAGCATTCATTGCGCAGTATGCATGCTTGTGGATCAGAATTTACAACATGAGAATCGATTCCTGTTTTATCACATGCTTCTAGCAGAAAATTGGTTGTATCCTTTCACACCTTAAAGTGAATATTAAATGGTTCATGGCCGGTGCGTGTGTGCTCATTCTTACAGCTCGAGGATTACAACATACCAGCTAATAGCATACTGATGTTCCAAGTCTGGGCCATGCAACGGGACCCATTGCTGTGGGAGAGAGCGTTGGAATTCGACCCCAGTCGATTCCTGAATAGCGATATGGACGTGAAGGGTATGCATACGGGGCTGATGCCGTTTGGAGCTGGTCGGAGGATGTGCCCTGGTTATAACCTGGGCTTGACGGTTCTGCAGTATACTTTGGCTCGTCTGATCCATAGCTTCGATTGGTCGACAACGGATCCCCAAGTTCCTCTGGATATGACCGAGAAGTTTGGTCTCACTTCTTTGCGTCGTGCCTCCGTGCTGCATGCCAAAGCCCGGCCGCGGCTGCCTCATCATTTGTACACTACGTAACTAAAGTTCTCGAATTGACTTCTGTGAATTATATTCTACGACAAGCACATTCTTTACTAGTTTGAGCCAAGTACATTCGCTTTCTCCGGCTTCTTCAAGCGGGTGTTATCCAACAATCGTCAGCAAAGAACAAAAGCTGCGTCCCCTATAGGTCATAACGAAGGAAACGGAAGTAATCATGCGAGTGAGCCTCAAAATCGACTATGCTCGATATCTCTGTACAGCATTCAATATTTCACTAAACATTCAGAAAGTTCACATCGTATGAGACCTATTGAATGCCCCAATCATTGTATTGTGTTCAGACAGAAAATGCATTCGCCAGGTTTGTAGATTTCCTCATTAATTCTTGTCCGATGCCAAGACGCGTGAAGAGATTATCAGCTTCACGTGTGAAGGGATTCAAAGTTCATTTTGGAGAAAATAGCATGTGGAAACCACACAACACAACTATACACTGAGATTGCTGTATAATGGTCAGGTGAAGATCCAGATCATGCTGGAACATGGTCACTACACGCGTTCCCTTCAGATACCACTGTACTCGATGGCTCTCCCTTGCTCAGCAGGTGAAACAGCAAAATTTTAATATGTCTCAACATGCAGTCCCACAGGTCTGCGCACAAAACAAAATCTGAACTGTTTACACAATGTGTGGTTATCACACATGCCTGTTTCTATCTTACGTGTGGGTAGACAAATACGTACAGCCCTTCGAAGCGCTCGTGATATAAGGAACAAATTGCACCTTCATGCTAGGACACTGCCTCCACTTCTCATATTATGCAACTATGCTCGATATGGTAAACGGGAATAGAACATGTACACTGCATAATTCAAAAAACTTCATATCTCGTATTTGATTAGTATTAGGGTTCTCGGTACACTTTCACAGCCATTCGCTTTCACAGGACTCAGCTGTCACGTGTTTTAGTCTATTGGTTCTATGTAATTCGTACTTACACCACGATTAATCTGAAACCAGTCGTTTGTTACGAGTGAATCTTGGTATTCACAAACTAAGTTGTTTCCTGCTGAAGTAACCTGCAATTGAGATTGCAGTTATGAGATTTGTAGAGTCACACCAGCAGGATGAAATCAAACCTTCTCTTAAGGATGCACACATATGAATATCAAATCTTCTTTTGGTAGGACAGTGATAGATCTGCATAACCTTCTTGATCAGCATCAACCGATACATCGATATCGTTTGGTGTTTTTTGAGATACTTTGAGAATAGAGAGCACGTTTCTTAGGGCACCCAAGTGTGCTCCAGTCAAATGTCGAGAAGTGGCATCGCCTATCACATGAGAAGTGTTGTTGTTATCTCTTTTCAGGTGCGGCCAAAATGTCAGAAGTTCAAATATTGTGAAACCTAAACTTTATGGCTACCTAATTCGGGTACAACATTTCAGCTGCGAGAGGGCCAACAAATGGTCTGTCCCGGGAGAAGTATGCCGTTCTCCGTACATGTCACACTTACATTCACAGGACTCAGCTGTCACACTTACATTCACCCTCTCGCACAAATATATTGGTGTCCCTTATTACATTGACATGTTAGGATCTTGTGGAATTATTGTGTCGTTCACTAGTCTTCCATGAGTGTGACCTCTTTCAAGGGAACCGTTTAGTGAAACTCTCAGCTTCGCCTCCAAGTGAGGTAATGCCGGTGACAAACCCAATATCGAATAGTCATCATCTTGAGCTCGAAATCCTGTTACCGCAACGGATGCTTGGAAAGAAAAGTACAAATATCATCCTGTGGCTAGTGAACAATAATAGAGAATTTTCATGTTGATGCCCAGTGGTATGCGTCAAGCATAACAAGCCTCTCGTTGAAATTTCGACCCCTCTGCGCAAGCCTATCACTTACGCATGACGAAATATAAGCAAAAGAGATTTGTTTACTGTCCTGAGTGTTGAACTCAGGTCCATTCCAATAAAAGATTATGGACATGCAAGCAGCAAACAACTGATGTTTACATCAAAGGACTTGATATCACATTCTGAAGTGAGGGAACGACAGTGCTGATATATATGAAACAGGAGGTTTCAAATATCGAGGCATGTAACCCTCTTTAGTCATTCACTCTTAATCTCTATTTCAGTCAGTCATCGATCATGACACCTTCTCCAAAATGATTTTATGACCTCGCTTGGCAAATAGATTTCAAAGAACAAGACGGTGGTGTATCCAGTCTGGCTGCAGGGCATGAAATACAAGCGTGAATAAAATTTGCTCATCTTTCTTTCTCAACAAGACTTATTGACACGAAGTATTGAACACAGAAAGCTCTCGGTGAATTTCATTCTATTTACAACCTACCTCCAATGGCAGTTTATGCCAGGGAGGGCTGACTCGGTGAGTGATTATCTGAAGATTCAATGCACGAACAGTATTCTGACATTTTTTTGAGTTCTGATCCGTGAATACAATGTACTGAAACTGTTATCTATTCACATTGTCCTACATGTCGAAGAATGTTGAGCAAAAGGTAATGATGAGCATGATTGAATTCCCCTGTTCATTTTCCCGGAAGATGTATTCTGAAACATTGCAATAACAGGACACGGTCCATCAAAAGCGTCCACATATGCCCTGAGCTTCTTGAACACACTGCAGTCTTTGATAGCATTGGGGAGAAAAGAATGTTGGAAACTCGAAGCTCATCTCATGTGAAGTGATGAGTTGTAAGCTGGAATTGAGCCTTGAACTCATCTCCCTCACAGTTGCACAAGACGCAGGAAAATTTCTCCCGTCGAGCTGCAGTGGCAGCCCAATCTAGTCGCCGCGTCCGATACACATCAGCCACTTTACGCACCAAGTTCTGGAGAGCCAATGATAGACAGGGACACGCAACGACGGATCACCCAAGTTCAGTCTAAATATTCTCAGAGGTGCCGGACGGCAGAATGTACCTGCCATTCATGGACAGCTACACACTGTTAAAACTCCGGATTGTGCAAGAAAGCCATCATCTATACGGAGAGAAGCTAGGAGAGAATGTGGCCATGGTGTTGTCATGAGAGCAACCGGAAACATATAGACAGCGCTCGAAAATGTAGCCGCTACCCCACACAAGGAAGCCCGGACCAGTACCTACCTTTACCAATCAGTGGAACGAACTCGTATTTAAAGTTACACATCAAGAATCGTGGAACTCCACTCCTCGATATGAGGAAACAGTACTTGGAGCACCCGTATAATCCTCTTGATATGTAGAGGCACACGCTAGTCAACCCTGGCTTCATGATTCTCTGCGATGGGAGAACAGTGTCCAAGTTGTTTGGCTGCTGTGCCAGCATGCACAAAGTGTCCGACAGCTAAGAAAAATATCCGTCCTCCTCAACCCTTGGAGTGCAGCAGTAGGTGGGCATTTAACAGTAGTTCGGTAATCCCTTTGGAATCAACAGGAAGAAAGTTTCTCCAGCGATTATCTGTCTCGAGCTCACGAAGTATCAGCGACAAACTCGAAGAGTGCTACCAGAAGCATCAATGGCCAGCATCAACGGTAAAGCAATTATGTCGTCATGGAATTTGGAAGAATTTAATAAGATATTTCGGTTTCTTAGGCGTACTCTTTTCATCCAAGCAATCAGTGCTGCCATTGCATAACATCCACGACTGATGTCACAGAGGTCGTGGTTTCTAGCCAATCTGGAACTTTGTTGACGAGTTTCAAACCTTGGGGAAAAGTTCCAAATCTTGAAAAAGTATTCTCTACGTCATGCACACCGAGTGATGGATCAGATGCAAGTGCAAATCATTCGTAGCAAGAGCACGATCAGCCATTTGTGCTTCAAAATATACATGAAGACACGAGTTTCATAGGTACTTGTGCAGGGAAGCCCTTCAATGCATTCAGGTCTTTTACTGCCCAGGAATTCTCGTATTTATTCCATTCCAATCACCCGACATTCTTCGTGGCCGATACTAGTAAAGTAAGGATTCCTAATCAAAGATGTAATTACAGTTGAGAGATTATTATTATTCAAGGCAGCAGATCTTCAATTCCCAACTCGATGTGACAGGAAAAACTTATCGTAGACTCCAGTGGGAACTCAAGCCAATAAAGTCCACTCAATAAAGTCCACTTGAGGGGATTTGTCTCAAGCCAGAGAGGTCGTTTATTGAGCTGCCGTTGAAGGGTATGTCGAAATTGTTCAAAATTGCAGCTCTGAACGATAGATACTGTGTTCGCTCATCTAACAACTCAATCAGTTCGGCGCCCGAACTGATTCTTAATATTGAGATGAGTTCAAGTCACAGGGTAGTCTACTTGTATAACCAAGATTGACCTACAGATGCTAGATAACATCTCCGAATTGCATGAGAAGTCTGATCATGAGCTGACCCTGAGAGACAGTTGACTCAGATTCCTATTTTGCAGGGCAGGACTGAAATCTGCCTTTTCAGTCCTGAATCTGCCTTCAAATTCTTCATCCACTTGGTTCGTGGAATGCTTTCATCTCTAAATATATCGAAGACTGCACATGTGCTTAGGCGATTTCATGCAATCAGAGATCCAAATTCGGTAGTATTCTCACACCCGGAGGTCCCAAGTTGACTTACTGTTCAAATGAGAATATATAGAAAAACACCGTCATCTGATCTATAGGCCATACTCGAATGCTCTCACCATGAATGTCTAAAACATTGGACATAGAGGTAAATTGGATCAGACAGGAGAGAAACCTCACCGTGGTTGTTTCGGATTCCAGAACCCATGAGTGCGTGGCGGTTTTTGAAGACAATGATTGTAGAATTTGATACCGAATTCCACGCTGTTCTCCAATCTGTGCGTGTCTGAATGCGCACAAGAGTGCAGCATTTGCGCATACAGCACGTGAAGAACGTACATTCATCGTCGGACTGTACTTACTACGGAAGACTGAAACCTGCTTTAGAGCCAAATAGCTTTGTTTCGATAACGGAAACACAACAGTTGCCAACTACCAAATCCGACAATGGAGCCAAGAGGAGAACGAATATTATACATGCAAACACTGGCACGTCGAGCTGCGCTCTAGTCGTGAGCAGAGAAGAGAGGGGAGCTCAGGCTGGTGGTGATTTCTCAATAATTTAGATTGCAGAGAATGGATGTTCGGGAGTTGCAGTGTCAGCTCCCCCTTCGATCGATCGACCAATTTAGGTGAGATTCAGAGACGGCACGGGAGGTACAACTCTATATAATCCGAGTGATGAGTCCACTTGTTTTGGGTTGGTCTCAGATCAGACTCCCTCGATCCAGCTCTCGCTGCCACTACTTAATTTGGGCTACCAGTCTGTAATACGAACGACGACTGGTCGCCACGGACGGCTCTTGCAAGGCCTTTCGGTTGAAGAGTGAAGGGAGCGTGGGATCTGCCAACTTTGGTCCAACTCTGCACTGCAACTAACTTTGTCCAGCATGGTAACGTTAGAATCTTGCGAAGCTGAGATTCCTTCAGACCCGTATTCACAATGTCTGCCCAGCCAAACTGTACATCTGAATTTTGTTAATTGCGAGGTTCTAACTATGAACCAGCGCCGAATCTTTGCACGACCCTCCATGATCTAGTGCCCGAGCCTTATTCTTCCTCTCCCGACCCCTCAACCTGGGGATCCGATGTACAAGTACTCCCTGGAAACCCATCCACAGACGTACGTTTAAAGCCGCTGCACGTCCCATCACTCCCAACACAACAACAATTGAGCATCGCAGCCTTCTTTCTCAATCTCTCTCTCTCTAGAGCTTGAGTTCAGCAGACCAAGCTATCGTAATCATTATTAGTCACGACAGCGAGCCCCAGCTTGGTCTGCCCCGTCTTCAACTCAAGCGTGCGACGCAGCTTAGGAATAACTTAGTGCACACAACAACAAGTTCCTGCCTGTGAACTCGACTGGAGACCACTTTCAGGTGTTGGGACTGGTCAAAAGCTTCAAACTGTCTTCTGGTGAGTTCTGTCTGCAGGTTCTGAAATGCATGGCGGCTTCAGCCTGACCTGGCTTAGCTACATCCTGCCTTTCACACTCTGGACGACTCAGATTGAGAGAAGCTCCTTGAGGACAGGACTGCTGTCCCTCGTGTGTTGACATGTCAAGTGGTTGTTTATTTCATCGTTTAGGATGACGAGTCGATGTTTTCAGTGGGATTGTGAAAGAGGGAGGCACATTTTGATTCTCTTTGAGACGGTTCTTTCCAAGGAAGTAATGAGAGTCAGCATTGTCGTTTGTGCAGGCGTATCGATCTCCTTGAATACGACAGTCGAGAGGGTGCAGCGATTCCATTAGCTCGTGGCGCCATAGCTTACGAAATTCTTCTCTTTTCAAGCACTCTTCAACGTTCAGACCTCGGAAGATCACATATTTCGACATGAGTTTCCTGAAGCTCCTGGTGGCTCTCTCATTCTTCCTAGCAACAGCGCGAGCAGCTACTGCCCCAGCTGGTGCTCCAATTATTGCTCCTTCGACCTCCATTGACACCAACTCGACCCCAACAGAATTAACGACTGCAATGATCTTTTCCAAATGGACCGTCTATACAGGGGCTGCACTCAATGGATTCAAGAACGTCGTCTTCACCAAGGTAGACACAGATCCATCGAACATGTGCAACATTCTTGGCTACTACGACCCGACTGCCCGAAATGCTACCACAGCCGTCACCTGTTTTGAAGATTTGCAGGCCATGATCGTCTATGCTTACCAGCAAGGTCTCAAGGTATATTACGTGGGCACCATGTACTTAGCTGGTCCTGATGGGCCTGACAACGACTGTGCAGTCATCTGCAGACCCTTCAGTGGCAGTTCTGCCGCCTATGGCCGTGGAGGCATTTTCAGCTACGGTGCTTTGAGCTTGGTGCTCTCCACAGCCATTGTATTAGTAACAGAATTTTTTTATTAATTATGGACATATATAAGGTTAAAGCTAACTTCACAGCATTCTTTGATTTCGAATCAGTTCGGACAAGGTTTCATTGTATGATCTTTCGAACCCTGACTAGAATCTAGCGCTTCTCTCAATTCTCGTGAGGCAGTTCAATCCAAGCTTTTAGTCATTGACTGGTTCGCCTTCACTTCTTCAATTGACTCCTTAGCTGTATCATTGATTCAATCTGGTTCATATTCACTCCCCTCCATTTTCAGTTTCCGTGACATGGGCTTTTCCAGTGACAAACTTTCGAGAATGAGAAAGACAGTTGTAAAGTGTACTGAATTTTCCGTAAAAGGTCAATGTGATATAGATAAAATTTCTACCTGCCCATCTGTCCTTGAAATGCAACGAAGCCACATGACTCCTAAGGCTCAAGATGGACTATTCAATAAACTAAATAACTCTATACTCGTGTGGACCAGTATTGTAACCTGGAGGTCCCTCGCACATTCTCTCTCGAACAAACAACAGTGTTCATGAGTTGTTTGCGACATATAACTCCAAAGCTAGAGTGAGAAGAACTTCAAGTCTACATGCATCCTCTAATGTTGAGACCTGATGTTATAGTTTCACTCGCCTCCAGTCCATGAGGATAGTTGATCAAAAACCGCTCCAAAACCTCTGTCAGGCCATGTATAACCGTTTGCGGGATGACTCGAATAAGTCTGAGAATCCTTGTTGTTCAGAAAACACACTACTCTTGTCCACGACTTGAGAATTGTACTGCTTTTCACCGATAGCATTCTCAGGTCTTACCTGACTATACAGACCAAATCTCTCACCAGTCAGAACCACTCTTGAACAAATATTCAACATTTCCTTCACGCTTTGCACTTGATTCGACCTGATAATTTCGACCGTCCAGTATTGTCGAATAATTGCTTGTTATAACGCTGTGCCATGCACACAAACTTGGAGTTCATGACCAAACCTGTGAACTAAATGTCGGCTTTTGTTCCTCGGCTGTTCTTTCGTGGCTATACCTGATCTCAAACAAATAGAGAATTGCCATGCCAATCATAATCACTCCCATCAGTTCACACGATTATTGTTTAATGCTGATTGTAAACAGTCATGATCAGTCATTCACAAAACAGAGCAGTCCCTTTCTCTTTGGGACACCTAACACTAGCACGCAAATTATCTTACAGAATATGTCCTCTGAAGATATGGGTGGTAAGAGACACACCATCCGATCCAACTAATATTGTAGCAGCTTAAACATGATTAGCTCATATTTGTAGTATTTAACTAATTCCGAGGCTCTGTTCTATAGAGAACTCCTCCTGAGACTAGCTTAGGTATGACTGGTGACGCTTTATTCGCGTTTAGCTAATGATTACTGGCTTCATCAGCATCAAATTCACTATGTAGACTCAAAGCATCTCCAGATTCGATGAGACTACTCAGTAATATCCAGCTCTTGATTGATACTGATAATGAATGAACAGAGTCATATTCCAGCAATTGAGTGAAACGAGGCTCAGATTGTGAAGATTCTAGGCGGAGAACCTTGCTCATCGTTTTCCCAGGTTACAAGATCATTAAGAAATGTGATGTTCTCTTGCAGTGCCAGTTGTAAGTGACTAGTCAGATCGCCTTTCCTTTTGAACAGCCCCGTTTGAAAGGGCCCAAAACGCTCCAAAACATTATTGAAGATCAGATGTTCCACTGCCGCTGGCTTCATAATCTAGCGACTGCTATTGAACTTCTTGACGATGTAAACCATCAAGCGGAGCATGACTTCTATGCTCTGCTTGATGGTTTACACACGCGGCATAATAATCACAGGGCATGAATTCTATGCCGTGTGATTATTTTCCACTGACCTTTCTATCACATGTCATGGGTGAGTCCCTGCGAGCTAATTGTGGCCTACATGCGAGGAAATCAGCCCACGAGACGACTTGATTTTGTTCCAATAAATGCCACCCTTTGACACACTAGTCCCAGTTCTTCAAGGGATATTTCTCATTGTTTGGTGTGCATGTGCTCTACCATAGTTATAACCTGCATGATGACCCTTTTCTTCTCCTCCCTGCAGCAGCAAGAAAAGGTGAGCCCTGGTGTGGTCGGAAGTAATCAGAAGACAGATAAATCTCCTCGAAGAATTGGAAATGTTGAGCTGAAAAGTGTCACTTTTTGGACCCGAACAATATTTAGCTTTCAGCCGAATGGAATTTGTCTTCAGGCCTGAAGCCAAATTCCTCGACCACGGGCCGGGAATAGCGTTGGAACCAGCTGGAAATGATCGAAAAGTAGAAGAAGATGTAAAGAATCTCCACTCCAGAATGTTGAATCTTCTTCCTTTGCGCCGTGTGGAATTTCCTAGACCGCATGCAAACACTGTTAGAGAATACATGTGTTTCAAAAAATGACAAAGATACATCCAGAAGAGAGTTGTGAAAAGACAAGACTTTTACAGACGAAGTTGAGGTGGCCAAATGAGTATTAAAAAATTCCACTCTATTTCGTGAGGCACTATGATTATTCCTTTTTTTCATTCTTTATCATGAACATAGAAACAAGATACTGCGGGTTGAGAAACGTGATCGTATCCCCTGCACCTAATGAGATTCACATTCCCATGCAATCTGAAGAGGAAGATATATCCTCTGATGATTGCTCCATTTACATGTCGGTATCACATCCGTTATCATTAGTGGTTGTTGGAAGTTAGCAACAACATCTAGAATTGAGTACTTCAGACTTACATAACTTCGTGTATATTCATTGTTTCGATTTAGTTGTCGAGGACTTTGAAGCATTTTCTTTTATAGAAGATGGTTTACTAGATTGAATACTATACCCACCCCAAGATACATCGTCATCAAGATTAAAGACAGGTTCAAGCTCACAGCACAAGTTATAGAAATTCAATATATAGAAATTCTTGCATGAATGGTTCCATTCACATTTACTATAGCTGAAGTTAATAGTACTTCAGTTATCACCTTGCATTTCAATTTCAACAGATGTTACTATAATTTTACTCGTCCTTATCAAACATGGTCACCTTATCAAATGGATCTTTGCTTGTGCATATAAATCGATTGTCACTTGTTTTCCTATCTCATTAAGACATATAACTGTAGACCATTTGAACATGAGTGCAGTGCCGGTCTTCTGTCTATCGATTGATATCTTAACGAAGATCATATACAAATAGAAAAGAGATTCTCATTACTCATGATGGATGACCATTATTTCTGCTTATCCATATCTTGCATTGGGAGGCAAAATTCATTACTCAGAATCGTAACTATTTTATGGAATTTATGGGAAAAGAATAAAATAAAACATGCTTTTTCTCCTGTGAGATATCAAACATCTCAAATGTGTATACATCTTACGAAAAACATATTTTGGTTCATCAATTGATGCATTTTATCACAATGTATCATTCATGAATAGCGATCTAAATACCAAAGTAAAATCTGGTGCATTTATTTATGATTACATAGTTCTTAAAAAAGCATGCAAAATAATCGGATGTTTTGAAAGTTTTAGAACTCCGAAGATTACTTTCTAATAAAACTTCTCGAATTTGAATTTTAAGAATAAAATAAAAATATCAGCATTTGTATGTCACTTACAATTTTGGATATGTTCACGATCAATATGAATGCTGTGAAGGTCACATGTCGTATATGATATGTAGCCGTTGATTGCATTAAGTGTATTTAGATTCAAGCAAGAGATGTGGAAAAGAGCTTGTTACTGAAAGTAAAAAATTTTATCAGTTTATGTGAAATTTCAAATACTTTGGAACTTTTATTATATATAGAAATAATAGACGACTACGATTTAATTATGATTTTAAGTTTCTTATCAAATTTGGATTTCTCCGATGAAAATGCAAGTATAATGTCTATGCTTATGTTATCTATATACCTACAAACTAAGGCATATGATTTTACAAAATTTTCTGTTTAAATCATAAATCAAAAGATACATTCCAAATTAATCGCACATTTTGGCACTTGAATGAATTATCATGTTAGCATGTAGCCCAGATGACCAATCATCTGTTTTAACCGTTTAAATCCTGATAATTTTACCATGAATATTTATAACATAAAAACTGGCTTATAAATCAAGTTAAATCATACATTTTCAACCATATCAAAGAATTGAGGTACCAAGAAAAATCTTACCAAGATATAAATTATTATCCTAACTGCATCATCGTTTCATAAATGAGGATAAAAATACACAGCGTATCATTCAAACTACGAAAGTGAATCATTAGATGCCTCTCACAGTTCATATTAACTTTTGACCACATCCATGAAAAGGTTGGTGTCGTCCGGTGCAAGTTTGATGAGCAGAAGTTTGAAGCGAACGTGGCTGCAGAGCCGACCGAGTTGTCACTTTGACACCAGTACAGTACAGAGCACGGTCGTGGACGAAGGCAAGTCTCAGTCGGTCGAGAAGCAGAGGCAGATCGGTGCAGCGATTTCTTCTCCTTGTTTTGTGAAATTGTGAGCTCGATCGTCATCAGCCTGATCGGCTTGTCGGTTATTTCAATCCGGAAACATGGAAAGGTTGCAAAGGATTTTCTCGGGCGTTGGAGCAGGTGGTGGTGGCATGGGCGGACCGCACCCTGACGCCCCTCTCGTCGATTCTTCCGAGCAAGTTTACATCTCATCGTTGGCGTTGTTGAAGATGCTTAAGCATGGTAAGCTACAAATTATCTATTTCTAAGCATGACCTACTCTGCCAAATGTCTAATACCAATTTTCCACATTGAATTCATCCTATCGCTGTGCCCGTCTGTGAAGTCTGTACGGAGGGAACACCTAGGGCAAATTTTGTGAATGTTTGGGCTGTGGTGATGTCTTGTGATTTGCCTGGAACATCACCCCGGCTCCAACAGGAAAGAGCTACTTTAGGGTTCTGTTTTGTTGCATTTCTACTGGTGTCCGTGGTGATGAGGTTGCCTTCGGCGTTCATCAAGAAACTGAAACGCTTTTTTTCGAATCTCGAAGTTCTGACGTTGCTTGGAAAGTCGTCAAAGCAAGCGATTCTGATTTGTACTTTCTTTTTTTCTCTGTGGGAAGTACTTCTACGTAGCCAACTGAAGACGGAATATGTACTGGTGATCACTTATAGTTTTTTTGGGTCATCCGGCCAGTTTAGAAGCAGGACTGAGATTCAAGCTGTACATTAAGGAGAATTATTTAGGAGGCAACATTCTACCGATGGAAAAAACTAAATTGGTTACACTCTGGCTTGTTTTGCTCACATATTGTCTGGCTACACCTTGACACAACGTCTTACAGTTCCGATGTTGACAATACCATGATTAAGCTCACTGGCAGGCTGCGGAGGATATCTGTTTTGGGCAATTTTCTTCTTGCTGTGGAAGTTACATGGCTATTGTTGAGATTCGAAATTTGACCTTTTAACGACATGTAACTCACTACACCGGCTCTGTTGAGGTCGAACAGCAACACAAGATTCGACCCCGTCTAGTGGGTCATTATCCGATTGACTTCAGTATTTCCCTTGAAGAATGTAATTTCATGGAACACATGTGATCACTTTTTAAGTATACGGACGGCCTAATAACGAATCATTGGATGAAGGAGAGACCTATGATTGTGCATACATTCGTGAATGTACGCATCTAACTAATTACAAACAGCTCCATTATAAATGCAGGTGTTTCAAAATGAGGCTGAGTCGTCAATGCAATTTGGCAGTTGTGGGGTCAATATCTCGATCCACTGACCTGTTCATTCTAGCTAGGGTTGTTGCGAGTCCATGTGGAGAAATTTGTTTAAGAGATCGCAAATCTAGTCTGTGGTGGTACTTTAACATTGGCCGGAGAATGTGTTGAGACTTATCCAATTCTTAGGCAGACTAGTTCAATTTAATAACTCCAGCTTGCCCAGATTGTGCTGCTAGTCACGAAAGAATATCTGGAAGAGATTTTTCATAGCCTTCGGTTGCTGGACAACCACTTTTGCTTAACATTTTTTATCCATATTTTGAACATCAACGTTCTGATGTATCATCTTGTATGATGTGATTCAGGAAGGGCTGGAGTTCCTATGGAGGTTATGGGTTTAATGCTTGGCGAGTTTGTTGACGAGTATACGGTTCGAGTTGTAGATGTGTTTGCCATGCCTCAGAGTGGAACAGGAGTGAGTGTTGAGGCCGTGGACCCCGTTTTTCAAACGAATATGCTTGACATGTTGAAGCAAACTGGCAGGTAATGAAAATCTCAATGTTTTTTGTCCACCAGCAATGACTATGCGCATCTTGTTGGTCTTTGTAGTTCATTGTGTTCACATGGCTGTTGAATGAGTATTATTTGCAGTGCTTCTCTTCCCTCTCATTATGATACTAGCCCCAACAGCTTGTCGAAGCTGACAGTGAAGTTGATCCAACGTGTGATTATGCAGGCCAGAGATGGTGGTGGGTTGGTACCATTCTCATCCAGGATTCGGCTGCTGGCTTTCTGGTGTTGATATCAATACCCAACAGGTCACTTCCTTGCTTTCTACTTGATTCTTGTCTTTCCTAGGTCTTACACTTCTTTCACATGATCGAAAGTTACAACCACGAAAATATTTGCGTTCACGGAAGTCTGAATGTTGAGTTCTTTTGGCAGAGTTTTGAAGCTCTGAACCAGAGATCGGTTGCAGTCGTGGTTGATCCTATTCAAAGTGTTAAGGGAAAGGTCGTCATCGATGCTTTTCGGTTGATCAACCCCCAAACAATGATGTTGGGCCAGGAACCACGACAGACGACTTCGAATTTGGGTCACTTAAACAAGCCATCGATTCAGGTCAGTGCAATTTAGTCAGCTTTCAGGCCTCAATTTTTATATTGCTGTTTGCTTTGTATTTAAAAGCAGGGCAGTAGATAAATCTTACAAGTGTCAAAACGCGGATCCGACGTTTTCTTAATTTTGAAGTTAACGCTGTGCAGGCATTGATTCATGGTTTGAATCGCCATTATTACTCCATTGGTATTAACTATCGCAAGAATGAGCTGGAGGAGAAAATGCTCTTAAATCTACACAAAAAGAAGTGGACAGACGGCCTGACGTTGCAACGTTTCGACAATCATGCGAAGACTAACGAGGCTACTGTACAGGTTAGGAAGTCTATTGGGTCACAATCTGTGACTTGTCTATTTAAAAGCTAGGTCTTTATAATGGTTTTCATGATGGTCTTTAATCAAGCCTACCGGACCTGCTTGTGCTGCTCAGTATGCTTTTCCTGGGAAATTTGGAGTGAAGTAGATTTAGATTCTGTCGGCTCTTCCCAAATCATCCCGAATTTCTCCAGGAGCATATGTAGAGCTACTCCACCTTTCGTTTCGACCATATCAGCCTAGACCTTCTCATCTGGGGCACGTTGATTGGTATGTGGTTAGTGGTTCAAAAGTTTCTTTTGGTTTAAGGTAATTGATGTGCTGTTTTGGTTGACGCCATGCAGGAAATGTTGGAGCTTGCTGTAAAGTACAACAAAGCTGTTCAAGAGGAAGATCAATTGTCTCCAGAGAAGCTAGCTATCGCCAATGTAGGACGACAAGATGCCAAGAAACATCTAGAGGAACATGTATCAAACCTTATGTCCTCGAACATAGTGCAGACCCTTGGTACCATGCTTGACACAGTCGTATTTTAGGATGTTAAATATATGTTGCAGAATTTTGATCTATTATTCGAAAAGGTCGTTTTGTATTCTGAATTCTGCTTCATCTGAACATGATGCATGACGCCGAGAGGACTATCCAGATACCTATGTAATGTTTCAGTTATTATCCTCTTGGCTGTTCTATTCTCTTCGTGCAGGATCATATATTTGGAAGAACATCAGTCTTCGATTGGAGTCGATATCGTGCATGTTAGTCTTTGTGTGTCGAGTCTTGCGTATCCTTACGTCGTTCTACAGGTTTGGGTCTAAGCCGTGTATGAAATTCACCAGCCTCACTGAAGCCCAAGGCAGCCTCATTTGTGAGTCCTGCCTACTGGAGGTTTTGTTCTGGCGGATGAGCTAGTAAAGGGGTTCTGTTTTGGTCGATATCTGGAAACTGCGAACTCTCTTTCTATTCTAGAGAAATTCATTTGACTTTCAAGTAAGTACGTCTTTGGCGTTTCTCGAGTTGCCGAATCCGTCGCCCGCGATCTATGGGCCCCAGGCTATAACAGGCTCATACTGAAGATTGCAGCTTCTTGTCCTGATAGCCCGATGCGGAAGACACTACCCCTGTCAAGCTGCACGAAGGATTCCAATATATGGTGGAAATTGTTAGGACGGTGAAGAGGAACCTTTAATGGGAAATCCTTATTGAGTCGATTGTGTGGAGCACGCCCTTCTCGTGCAACTTTGCCCAACCTCTTTTCGCATAGAATGCACCTACAAAAGTCTGGCCTTCGAAACATGGTCCAACTTCTCAGTAAATATGAAAATAGTCCAATCGAATATTAGCTCGAATTACACCAAAATAAATAAATTTTTTGAACACTCACGAGCATGATCAAATGATTCAGTACAATACAAGGAACAAAAAATTAAATAGTATTTCGTATATGATTAATTTTACTTCAGATTTTATTTCGTACATATATTTGAAACTTATTTAGCAATTTCTTGTATTGTACTGTGAGCTTTGGCGTAAAATTACGTATAAGTGATATTACTACATGTTCTTGGCATTCCATAATCATTATTAGTTAAAAAAAAATTGATTTAAAAAATAGTGTGAACACATTTCACTAACATTAATAACTAACTCAGTGTTTACTTTGTGTATTAGCTCAAATATACTACATAATACATCAAGACAATGCTATGATAATTATTAAGAACATTTAATTTCAATAAACATAGTTGGTTTAACTTGTGTGAATAAACTCCTTCTGTTTCACCGATAATGTGAAACAAATATAATCATCCATGGAAAAGGTAATTTAAGCATGTAAAGATAATCACTATGTAGTGTAGTCAACATCTGACTAGCACTATGATCTGAATACCTTAGTACAGTACATTTCTTCACGATCCAATCCCATACATGTGCCCTACTCAAGAGCAATGTAACATCAAATGTTCCAAGGATCATCATTCCAAGGATGTTGGAAGTATCTCATAAGAAGTCCTCTCTGTGAGAACTTTTACGGTAAAGGAGTTTCATTTCCCATGCATAACGGATACCGTTTCTGACGTCCCCCGAGTTGAAAAATACGTGCCCTTAGAATATATTTGTTTATATAGAATAAGGCCGTGGAAGAAAAAGCTCTGTATTAATCATCTAATTTTCTCTGACAGTGAAGAAACAAAAACAACTCAGACTGAGTTCTTTTTATGATCCGCGCAGATAGTTTGCTTGTTTTTTTGTATTCTTTTATTTGTTCTTGTGTCCATTCGATTCTATACTAGTGAATGATACTTTCTCGGTATTATCGCTTAAGAGCTGTCAGTCTTTAGGAAGACCTACAGTTTTATTTCGTCCCACTTGTTTTTTATGAAACCTATTACACAGCAGTGACCAGTCAATGTATGTGTATGCACAGTCAAGATGTTGGGGCCAACACACAAGTGGGCACCAGCGAACTCGAATGCTCATTAGAAACTAGAAGTTCCACGCCAATGCTGATTATGTATTTGGACCTGCCAGATGGAATTCTGTGCATGAAAAGCCAACGCACATGCTTTGCATGACGCCTGGATCGTTTCTCATACTACGCAGGCCCATCCATGAAAAGCTTGCCAAATCAGCAACCTTTTCCTCTGTTCGGGCCCGATGACCACTAAGTTATTAATTAGGAAAAATCGGTACACTTGATTCCGACCGCTTTTGCTTCGAAGACAATAAGTTGCATTCGAATACATTGCAATAATAGTTGGTGTTGGATTGGAACTTTTTTTAAATTCGATGGACAGATTGTACTCGAACGTAGCACACCCTAGGCCGGTGGCCCATACAGCACATGCTCTATAAATGTAATTATTTTCTGTGATATAGGGAAGGAAAGAAAAGCGTTCAGACGTGGACACTTCGAAAACATAAAATCTGGAATTGTGATAGGTGGATAAATATGTAGGAAAATGAGTAAATAGCTATGCTAAATACTATTGTGTTTAAAGATAAAATGCCATCTGAATTTATTTTCCCAAAGTGCACGGAATATTTTGATTTTGAAATTAATAATTAATCCTCTATGTCGTTACAACTCTTCCGCTTAAAGCACTTATATTCCATTTTTTGCATAAAAAAAAATTTGGCATCAAAAAAAATCATTACATAGATTTTCATATACCACCATAAGATTTGAAAAAAACATTGCTTTGACAAAAATACTTAAGTCTATATAGTGCATCACAAAAAAAGTTAATGTTGCATCATAAATCACAATTCATATATTGACATACATCAATATACGTGTATCGTATATATCTATGCAAATCATCAACATCATGTGACCTTCATGAAATAAAGTCAAATATACATTTGTTGTACACTTAAACTTTTTCATTCATATTTGAACTTGACTTGCATGATTTGTGCATATATACTATATATGTACATCTATTCAATGTAAAGAATTTAAAAGTTGTGAGATATGACATGTAGCAAACACAAACAAATATATGAATATATTGGTTTTTTATTGACTTATTGACATGAAATAGTGCATTAATTCCAGTTTTAAATTTACCAGTAAAATCAATATTTTCGAGTGAATTATACTTTGCTTATTTCAATGTCATGTCATAACATCAATTTTCATACTAAATATCGAGAAAGCATCATATATGTGATCAAAAAACTCCAAAAACTTAAATTTATAATATGAAAATTATTCAATCTTTTATTTATTTATATATATATATAGTAAAAAATTATCTATATGTACACATATGTATAGAATTTTGCAAAATGCAATTGCTTTGTTTGATTATTAAAATAAATAAAGTTATTATAAAGGTCAGATTTTAGATCAATTATTTATTAGAACATGTTTTAACGTTGAAATATTTGTATATACATATTGTTTCATAATTGTTGATAAGTTTTTTCATTCAAAAATGAAATGTGATGAATAGAAACATGACCATTGTTTGTATTTCTGATTTTAATGTGTAGTTATTATTAATTCGTTAGAATTAAAATATAAATTACTCACACTAAAGTTATAGTTTTATATATAATTGTTAAGTAAATAATTTCTGTACTTGTTAGATAAAGATTAAATATGTTAATCAGTGTGTTAATTATGAATGACACGTCAATAATCCGTGAACTAGTGAACTATATCATCAGTCCACACTAAGAATAGATTAGATGATAAAAAAAAAATGTATATCTATATATATGTTTGAAAACTCTAGATATCTTAGAGTAACACTATTGTAAATATCTTATCTTCAGATTATGCTACATCTCCGAGTGAGTTTCTCTCTTATACCAAAATGTTACATAATGAATTTTTATTTATATTCAAGTTATTACAATTAATTTCATTATTTTAGATTGACTTGATTTAAATCTATGTGAAGGTATTTGTACTTAACGTTTTTGTCATTTTTTGTGAATATATAATATATGTTTCTCATTGAAAAATTGTTAAAAAAATTAATTTTCAAAAATTGAACTTTTGAAACTGAATGACAATGAAAATACATATTAGAATAGTCTCATTTTGATCATATCAACATTGAATGAAAAATAATTGTAGTTTTCTATCTTACTAAATTTATAAAAGTTTTCATATGTATTTGACACACTCATTTGATGTTATTAAAGATTATCCATTTATTTCCAAACTTAATCCAAAATAATTATTGTGATGTGAATTAAATCTTATTAATTTATAAAATTTGGGAAAAAGGTTTTTCTAAATTCTTTTCCATATTTTGTTCAATAACTTTTCTCTTCATTCAAAAGAGGAAAAAACATTGTTTCAGAACCTTTGTTGTGATTAAGAAGTTAATTTTTTTTTCTAGAATTGATTTTAGGGCAATGTTTGTGTACAAGTGATATGCATATGCAACTTTTAATTGCCGATTTAAAGTAGACGAATAGCATATGATTTTTAGAGATATTACTCAAAGTTCTGAACTGAAACTGAAGTAGTTGGGAAATTTGCATCTGTTTGTTGGACAACAGATGCAATTTTTTGGTGAAGACATTGATGACTGTATTTTCGTTGCAAACTAAATCTTAGTAGCATCCGACGTACAGTAATTTCCTAGAGTTAATAGTTGACTTTCATTTATTAATTTGAAGGCTTCCTATCAAAATACATTCCAAACAACCTGAAAGTTCAGGTCAGGTTTCTGCTACCAACCATCTGAAGTGATAACAGTACTGACCGCTTTTGATGGCAGTGGATGCCTCCAGCCTTAAATTGACTTTGACTTTTTATCCACCACTCAAACAGCAAACACCTCCTCCAAGAACTATAACTAATGCTCAATAGGCAGCAAATTCCGTCGTTGATTGTTTCTATTACAGTAAAGGGTTCAAGACCAATATATGGATCAACATAAACAAAATTATTTGATTGGACCTGAAGTATCTAATCTTCAGCGGGTGGACAAGGATTTCGAGGATGCGCTGCTTTTCGTCGTCTCTCTTAAAACTACCGGGCAGTGATTAGGGACACCATTTCGGAAAAGGTCGCTTACGACATTGGTTGAAACTCAATTCTGCCTGAGAATAAATATCTCCAACCCCGATGAAGATTTTTCAGACGAAGACGGCCAGAATCAATAGAGACTTTATGCTTCCAGATTACAGGGTACCGTATTTGACTTAAGGAGACTAAAACTCGACTCCAACTTGACAATGATTAAGAACGTTACCTGCCAGATTGTCCTCAAAGAAGAACTCAACGTGGAATCAACTGTACCACCAACAACAGCACATTTCAATGTACGTACTCTATGTATATAGAGCGCAATTACTTCGAAGATTTAGAAACTCCGTCTTAAAGAAAACTGCGGCACTTTACGTGCCACGTTATTCTTAAAGAAAAACTCAGCGTGTAGACAACTGTACCACCAACAGGATTCAATTTAGGCCCTCAACTTTGTCTTTATAAAGGGCTATTAGTTCGGGGACTTAGAGGCCTGGAGCAGTCTTCATCGGGCTGCTAAAGATCTAGCACACTTCATAGTTCGAGATATTGCCGTGGGTTGACTGGAGATATCTTAACAGTGTGATCATCGAAGATTTGTTTATTTGAACACGACGAAAGAACGTCGAATGTACTAATTCTCCAGAACTTTCTTGGCAGTACAATTGACAGGAAATGCTGACAATCACGATGTTCGGAGTACAGATAGACACGAACTATCAGCAGCGCATTGACTATCGCCGAGAAGGGGCATGTGCAGGAACAAAGAAATTGCTTGGCTATCAGAGTATGAATTACATCGCTCGGTTGTTACTGCATATTAAAATTATACTTCTGGCTCAACGACGATAACACAAGCGCTGGAGTATAACAAATTTAACAGGCGAATTGGTCGAAGGCATTTCATGGCATGTTCTAGACCCAAACGTAAAACAAGAACCCCTCGTGGAAGAGGGGCGACACAGAAATAAACATTAGACTATTGGATACCTACGAAACAATGACTGTCTGCAGTCAGCCGTCTACTGAAGCAGATGGCTATTCTCAATTACATACGAAGATGAACTATACCCTCCCGCGACCCTGAGTCTAATCTGGGGAGTAAATCAAGAAGCTATGGCAGCGTTCAAACATACCTGAAATGAGAACTGGGATTCAGAAGTCCGGGTACAGACTACCTGAGGCTCTGATGTGTAATTCGAGAAATTATATTTGTCCCCGCCGAAAAAGCCCCGTACCCGAAAGCCTCGTGAAATGAAGTCAACTCACCACTTCCGGAAGGGAAGAATTGCTCGAACGAACTGTGGATGGATGGACGCTCATGTCAAATCGACGTTAGATTACCAGAGTATCGTTGTAACTCGAATTGGTCAGAATCCTGAAGTTTCTCTGCACGCCCATACGATCTTGCTGCGAGCTAAAGCGTCCTACATCGTGACTACATCTCACGAATCCCGAAGTTCCTAATATTTCATGATTGCTTCTCGTAGAATGAATAGCGAAGTCTGATGAATCAAGAACCTCAAGTAACGAGAAAAGTTGCAAATATTGGAGGTGAATACCTGCTTTTCAGTGAACTAACTAGGTCACACACATTGCCGCACTGAGTGAATGACGATCCGCGATGGATCTTCAAGCACTTGAGTCTCGTGTGTGACGATGCAGAACGACTATCAACACTATCAATAACCAGATTCCATCATTACTCTACCAATGCTCCAGTCCTGGACATGTCAACGAGCAGAGAAGAAGCAGAGCCAGACGTGGCGGGTCATCCAGGCCGGTGAGAGCAACTACCTCTTCTAGAAGTACTTATATTTTCCACCTAAGAGCCATATTTGGTATGGTGATGACAAACTCTCGAAATACTCGGCGGGATCTGTGTGACAAGGCGTCCGTCAAAGGAATGAAGCGGATCGTTACAATTGGAACCAGAGACATGCTTTGCGAGCAAGTCAACCTTTCATGAAGGGAAACGTAAGTTCGATTCTCCAGTTCAAGCAGTGGGCAACAAGGGTACGACTGTCTGGTGAGCTTCGAGTCTTCGAGGTCAAAGAGGCAAGGGCACAATTTTGCTCAGGAAAAAGGACACCGGGCATCAATAAAGCTGTTATATGAATGAAAAGCGAGCGACCGAGGACAGAGTGATTTACGTTGGCCATGAGGCGGAAATCCGCCCTACTACTAATCTGGGCAGAGAAGGAAAGCTCTGAGATTCAGGAGGAAAAAAAGTGAAACTCAGATTGCAGGGATGCTGAACTGTTCGGACAATAAGTGGGGTAATTTTAAAATGCCCCCATGGACTGTACGCCAACTGCCCATTTAAAGATATGGAGCACTAAAGACCCAACACGACAAAGAAATGCCCTGAGTTCTATACGAGAATTATTCTACTGCCACAACTAGGAACGAAGACAAGCACATTTCGGATTAAAACATCGACGGGGAGAGTATCTTCCGTTGTCACATAATGTAAAGTTTAGGTACAATGAGAGCATGTGTGAGACTACAGTGGAACGCAATGTCCTTCTTCTTTATCGCGGTCAATCTGTTTCTTCCGAGACCTCTGGAGAAACAAGCGGCATTCCCAAGGAAGCGCAAGTGAATCTGGTTATCAGCATCCCATTATGCACGGACATCTCACTGAATTCCAAATATTTTATTTGCGCTCAAACTCACATACAATATTGAATGAGTTATTGGGTGATAAATATGTCGTGGTTGAAATGGTCAAAAGCATGTTCTTGAACTTCCAGAAAACATGTCCGAATGGATCTTTTGGAGCAAACAGAGAATCTTTCCACGTCTAACTTGCTCACCGACGGTCAACCAGACCACAGATTGAGATCTGAATCGAATCTGAGAGTCTGCTAAAGGATTCGATTTATGTGACATCAAGGCTCGTATGAAAGAGAAATACATTTATGATATTGTTAAGGTCAAACGGAAAAAGAAAAAAAAAACCATTGTCAATGCCAACTAGACAGAAAATATATAATGTTTCAGCCAGGGAATTACATACTTCAAAATAATAAAATAGTCATCCCATAAGCTTTTGCCATTATTCCTTGTACTGTGTGGATGAATAACAAGCGAACCGATTTAGAAAGCTAAGACAGGATTACCGAAGCAAAAGATGCATCACCTCACACCGTACTGTGCTGAAGCGTTGATACTATTTACAGGCAGTTCTTACGAGCCTGTAATAGATGTGTGATGGAGACAAACTTTTGGTTTATCGAGACATCATGAAGTCCTTTGGCCATCTAAGGTGCATTGATGGGAGACGAGGGAAAATACCCATGTTTATTTAGAATACGCACACGACTGATGTGACAGAAGTGAAGTAGGACGTGCTGATCTGCACTTACTTATGATCCAGGCCCTCTTTCTTTAAGTCGATTGCATGGCACTTTCTATATTGTTGATGGTCTTTACTGATCTGAATGTCTCTCTGAAGGTCACAGGGTTTACACCCCTGATACTCAAAGTCCAGGTCTACTACGTCCAGAGAAACAAGAGGATCAATTGCTTTGATTGATTGCTATGACTTAGACCGGGTCTGGTGTCGGAAAATGGTGACTGAATGCGTCATACTAGGAACCTTTTGGTGACACTAACTAACTACTTTCCCCTTTTTATGTAGTAAAATAAACCTCTTTCGCATAAAGTATATACTGCATTGTCCTATGTCCAGCTTAATCGCCCATATTCTGTTATGACGATGGGGCATGACAAACTTTGGCTTTCTTTCCCTTATGTATATAGAATACGAGAACATGCTATTAAAGTTCAATAGAATCATACTATGTGAGTGATTAACATTTTTTTATAAATATTAATGATAAATCCGTAAGCTAATTGTTTTCTTAAGTACATCTTAAAGTCTTCGATTTCAGACTAAAATTATTTCCAATCATACCATTTGGTATACAAAGTCAGCCTTAGATATGTCGGATTGTCAATCATTATTTTTTTCATAATTTTACATAAAATAATCATAACAACGCTTTTTACCCCTTTAGAGTATTTGTCAAAGTTGATATGCATAGAGTGCACCAAGAAAGAAGACACAAATCGAGAGGTATATTGCGTCTAGATGGTATTCCCACAAGTTACAGTCTAAATCAGTGAGTGTTGCTCATACACATCTGCGGTGATGTTAGGAGATTCTTAGGCTTAGGAGTTGCTAGATGCTGACATTGCGGGCTAATAACTGAGGATTGCTGTGAAATCAAAGCGACAAGTAGTTACTACAAATATCTTTTATGCACATACGATAATTGCCACTGAACTTGACTCATATTTTTTTGCCATTGATATGAGAAAAAAATTCATCGTTTGTCATGTTAAACTGGAGATAGGCATATGTATATTTGGCGCTCATGAATACGGTGGGCTGACTGGGCTACATTCCATATTATATCATCACATTAAGGTTGATGATTATGTGTTGGCTGGAATTTAAAAGAAAATCCTGGTAATTTTCCCACTAATAAGCGATTACTGAAATGCTGTATACTAGGACTTTGACCAACATACAGATATGGGCATTTTAGTCTGTTTAAGACCCGTATATATGATACGGAAGTCTTGACACTAGGACTCGTTTCGAAAGCCGTCCCTATTTTTATAGACCTTGTGTAAAAGGTGGTTGTTAGTAAAGTATATAGCTTGGTTGGTAAGTCTGCACCACAATTGCAGGGTCTTCCGACTAGAACTTTGACCGAGAATTTCCAACTTAAGGACAGAGTTTTCTAGGAGGTTTTCCAATACTATGCTATAGAAGTTCCTGTTTCCTCTCCATTCCTCCCTAGACAACGTTGAATACGAGAAAAATAGGTCAAAGTCAAAGTAGGTCCTATTGCAATCTACCACGTTTCAAATGTCTTGCGTCTGTTGTTATATATGTACACTGGATTGATGAAATCCATGTCGTTCTTTCTTGTGCATAATATATTCGATTTCAGTGGTGGAACCGATGGCAGAACCAATGTCAGCCATAAAACGATGAACATGATTTCGTTACCTTATGAAACTCATAAAAAATAAACTCTACAGTAATCATTCTTAAATCACCTCACCTTTCGCAGATGTTTTGCAAAAAATCCACTTTATACTCTGTTTGTATCAAGGGTTCACTGAAGGGTGTTCCAAGTAATAGAGTATAAAAGATGTGGAGCACCTTAATTTGTAACTCGAAGAGTGCGAGTCTAGTCTTCGTAGAGATTGAGCCAGGATGCGAAGGGCCATGATGTGTGGATGCTTGTTAGGGAATGAGATTGATTGTCAGCACGAATTGTCAGAGTAAACATCACCAGAGTTCTATGTTGATATTTGTCCCAATGACATGAATACCTCGACGCGATTATTCAATAGGCACCGTCTCTTTCCGTCGGATTAATTATCCTAGAGAAATAAGTGTTCCACAAGGCTTACCCCCGCTAGCGGATGGGAGCCTGTTGCGGGAATCTGAAGGAAAGCCCGACCGCATGCAACACGAAGCTTGAACCTAACAATCTTGAAAATCTTCAGTGACGGTATAGTCCCCTCCTTTCGGCAATATCACCTGCACCAATAGTGCTACAACAGACAGCTGGAGTACCGCTCTCGACGCAATAAGTACAGGTTTCACTCCTCCATGCATGCGAACATGTCTCTTTAGAGAAGATATACTTCTATCAAATAAATAAAAGCAGTTGTGAAATGCAATACCTCCGACAAATTGAACTATCAAACAGAATGTTTACAAGGGGTAGAAAGTCAAATTGGTATGTGACGGATCGTGATACTTTTAATTGATTTTTAATTCCAAATACTAGATGTGGGTTATGATTGTAACGCTCCATCTGATCTGACTTACTCAGCGACACCCTCGTTTACACGAAACAGGGGATTAAGGCTTTCAGCCTCAGTAGTCTCTCCAGAGAGCATCTGCTTGACACGAATGTCACGAAATTTTTTCCTCTTGTATATATATATAGAAGAGGAAAAAATCTGATGAAATTCGTGTCAAGCAGATTGTCTATGGGGAGACTACGGCTGAAAGCCGTAATCCACTTACGTTTCATGTGAATAAAGGTTTATTTACATGAAACGTAAATAAAGGTGTAGCTGAGTAAGTCAGATCAGATGGATTTATATAAAAAAATATATACATATTTATATCATAATTTGAAAACATTTAGTCCTGAAAAGAGATGGAGAGGAAACGCTACAATGAAAACCAATATCGATGTGGAAGATTCACATACACGATGCTCAAAGATTACAACAGGGATGTACAACTAATACCTTGCCGAAGCCGATCTTGCCAACCACGTGACCATGATGTTGATGTGCAACAAACTTGAAGATTGCTTGTACTTGTAAATTTGACCGCTCCTTTCGCATGCAGTAAGACATCTCTTCAATAAGACAAGATTCACTCTTCCCAAATCTTTGTGTCGTCAAGTGCCCAGAGACCATCTGCATTGCAAGAATTCTTCAACTTTTATTCACATCTCAGTTATGGTGTACTTACCAACATACTCAAGAACCAAATACAATGTTTTTGGAAGAGCTGTGAATATGGGAATTTGCAGCTCACGAACATTGGAAAAGCTCATCAGTTAGAAGGGTCACATGCCAGAAGAGTTCGGTAACAACAGGGATATTGACACTCGACGCCTGATGCTAAGCGATTCATTTTTTCATTTCCCATGCGCGCACTCTCTCTTCTCTTCTTCTTCCAAGGAGGAAAGGAAGTAATATTCCAGAGATCGTAAGATGCTTAATTGACCACCCAACTAATGAAGCAAGGGCCGTCCATCGGAGATGGAGCAGTGAAAATAGTCATGTCCACGTAAGGATAGGCTGGCGAGGCCACGAGGGAGCATGTTCATACTCGTCTCGTGGCCTATTGACATGCCGCCCCTTTTCCTCAGTGGATTTTGTTTCAGAAGATGAAGTCCAAATTATACCAGCCTTCTCAGAGGGAAGAGGGAAGGAAAACCGCGTCCTCTGTTTCTACGTGGAGACCACAAGAGGACATGTACAAGAGAACTCTCGGCCCTATCGGTGGACCCAGCGTGGCCAGGGAACTCCTGTTCGGAGCATTAAAGTACACACCTACTTTCGCTTTTATTGACCACCTTACCCTCCTATTTTACAGCACCTCCTCTTATACGGAGGACATGCTGTAGAACCAACATATGCGTTTCTTTGAATGAATCATGGTTGGTAGATGGGGATTTGTTATGGAGATTTTACTACCTCCGGTCAGAAGAAAGCTGTGAGACTGTCCACTGGAGGTTAATCGCTGGTCCACACAAACCAGCAATTTGGCACCGTTGTCGCGGGCACCAAAGGTTCAATCGTTGGTCCTTGGGACATTTGACTGCTGGGGCCAATGATGACACGCTGCATCCGGTCAAAGCGTAGCTGGTCCCTACTGTGCTCGTGCCGCAGTCCGCCCATTCCGCGGACTGCACATTCGCTACCATGTTCCAACGAGAAACTGCTTCAAGCGCAAACGTACACACTGTAAAAACCTGCTTCACAAGAGGGAAATCTTGGCCAGTGGGACTCTAGAATGACTGCGGAATCAAGTGTGGTTGAATTATGATGTACGACATCTATCCAAAAGTGCTCGGTAGGGTGAAATGAAATGCAGGCTGTAGCAGAAATTGATTGATTGATTGAAATTAGATTACTGCCATGGGCAAAAAAGACAATGCAATACCAGCTTCTGTCATAAGCAGGGATCTACCGTGCACTTATCGCCGAGTGTAGCGCAGGTCTTGATCCACGATTTGTGTTGGTCTGCCTTAAGTCAGTGTATTTTTAACTCGAACTTCAGGTTTCCAGCACTTACGACCTCTCGCCATATCCAGGCAAGACGACTTTCGAGAGACTCCGACGAAGACTTAAAGCCTCAACATCAATGAGTGCACGTCATCTACGAGAGTCATTGCCAGGTGCCTGAAAGTATTCATGACAAATGAATTCACAATTATGGTGTGTGGGGGTCTTCCAGATTGAGAATACAAAATCCAATTGAGCAGATTCACGAGAGATTTCTTGTTTCAAAGCCAATGATTCAACCGAGTTACAATGTTTAATGTCCTGAACATTTTCAGAAGAATATATTGAATATTTTCGTATATGTTATATGATGATCATATTTGTCAGTGAATTTTGGTACGTGTGACTCTTTCTTCCAATTTAATAAGGAATCCATATGGAAGACGTAAAGTATGACCGTACTATCGTGTACCTGGTATCGATTGCGAAAGTGTGGATGTATCTTTAAATATATAAATCAAGCTAGTAATATAAGAAAAAGAATGAGTCCAGGTGACATCGAAAATTTTACGAAAGATGTGAGAAGAATCATCATTATTTATGTTTGTCAAGGAAACGTAAGATATCAATAGAAAATGTAACTAATATATAGTTCATAAAATGTAACTAAATATTCCATGTAATCACCTGAAGAAAGTGACACCCTCTGATCATGATAGGTTATACTACAATTTATATTAAAGAAGTTGAGTACTTCTTCTTGTGGTACATAGTTACAGTAAGTATCTATTTTCTGTTCGTTCGGAAACTTTATTCATTGCTGTTCTAACCTCCGCACATCCAAGAAAATGTGTAACACCCTCCTACTCATACGGGGTCCATAGGTCCATCGTAGAACTCACTTCAAAGAAAAGCAAAGATACCCGCAAAGATGTTTCAATATCATTAACAACTGATAAGATATTAGGAAAGTCGCCATGACACACACTAAGAGATAGTCAAAAAATTCTTTTGTTCGAAGAGGAGAAGGACACTAACCTTTTGTCTGGGACCACAATTCGATGCAAATCGTGGAGCTCCTGTAACGAGACGAGATCAAACCAATCGTTCGAAATGGCCAAAGTTCGCACAAGAAGAGGGCACCTCAAGAACATTTCACTTGCTTTTGTCCAACATCTACCGGATTAGCCAAAGAATCGATCCACGGTAGCGAAAAATACGAGAGGCCTGAAGGAGCGGGCCTGTGTCCGATCGAGTACTGTAAAACTGTCCGCTCGGAGTTAACGCCAGCATTATAAGTGCTAAATTCGCTCATTCAAAATTAGCCGATCCTCTATCCGCAATCCAGAACCCGGAGCCCACTACCAAACAAGGAGCAAATCCACTCTGAGGAAATAGGAATCGAATAATGATTGGAGTTAATGAATGGCGAACATGAGAGAGTAACGTGAGCGATCATCACCGGGACATGAGCGGGGCCAAATGGGCGCAGCATGAAACGATATGAGGGCCGCGAGACGACGCGCCACCGGCGGACGCTAAAGCGCGAGCAGGATCGTGTGGCCAAACGCGACGGGACTGCAGCTTGACCCGGTGACCCCGACGAGCGTCCTCCACCGGAAACGTGAGAGAATGTAGATCCCGCAGACCCCGGGCGACGAAACCAGCGCCGGATCGCGTCGGGCCGGGCCTCGCTCCCGAACACGAAGAACACGCTCCTGCTTTCGATCCCCGCTCCCGCGCCCGTCCGCGGGTCGGATCCGCTCCGGCCTGGTCGGTCGGGAGCCGGCCGGGCCGGGCCTCGTACCTCAAACCTCGGCCACCGTACGCGCCGAGAACCGGCCGGCGCCGTGCAGCAGGGACGGGACGGAAGTGGCGACCGACGCCGGTTGGTAGTCCGAGGGCAGGACCGGAGAAATGCGTGAGACGGAGACGGACGCAAGAGTGACGGAGGTGGTGGGCGACGGAGAGGGAGGCGGCTCCAGATTCGGTCGCGATCGCAGTGGAAAAGGGGAAATCGATGGAGATTCGTCGAGCGAGCAGTGGGAAGAGAGTGAGTGAATCGCGAGCATCGCAAAAGGCGTGGAGATTCGCAGCAGCACCAGCAGCCAGCTACCGCGCGCTGTAGAGAGCCTTTGGACCGCGAGGCTCGAGGGAGGCCCGCTGCTCCACGTGTCCGTGGTAGTCCTGTACCCAGTTTGTCCTGGCCCCCGGTCGCAGAGTTGCCCTGCCCCCGTCTCGATCGCAGTGGACGGACTTCCGGACTTCCAGCTGCGAGGACCCGGTCCTACGTCACTTCCCGTCTGAGAGTCTCTGCCCCGAGGACTCTGCGCGCTTCCTCTCGGACGGGGGCGGGGGCGGGGACGGGGACGGGGACGGGATCGGAGCGGGACCGGAGGTTCCTGATGGAGGGAGTTTCGGGTCGCACGTCGATGACAGCTGCTGCTGCTGAGGGGAGGGGGGTAGTAGAGGACGGGCTCGGCGGAGGATAGCTGGAGGAGGGGATTTGGAGCGCGGGGGGGATGCTGCCCAGTTGGCCATCATCACCAGCAGCCGCGATGGTGGTTGGCGGGGCTGCAGGACGATTCTCCCCGGGGGAGGGGACCGGAGCACTGTTGGGCATCAGTTTGGCGCCTGGATCGCTCGGGGCCAAACTCCGACTGCGATTTGGTCCTCCGAGGTTGGACTCGTTCGTCGCCCCGGGGTCGAGTGGTTGACTGGATGCCGAGGCGCAGGCCTCCGGCGGGCGGCCGGGCGGGCACGAGGTGGTGCTACCGAACGCCTAAGGCCAGTGCTCTGGCGTCCTGCACAACGCCCCTCCCTCTTGTTCTTCGCACCCCTCCCCTGCTGCTGCTTCTGCTGCAGCTTCGAGCACTATTTGTGTCTCTCCGGTTGCGCATTGCCTCAGTCGCCAATAGTCAACCTCCGGAACGCCTTCTCTCCTCCTTCCTGTCTCTCCCCTCTCGGGCTCTGCAGAACTCGGGGCGGAGGGAGGAAGAAGTGGGCTGAAGAAGATCACAGCCATTGCCACTCTTTCTCGAGCTAGGACTCACGGAGGCGATCGGAGAAAGACGTCGCTGTCTTTCTTTCTCTCACTCACTCACTCTCGTACTCGCACTAACACTCGCATTCGCACTGCTTGTATTTCCTCAGTGATAGTAGTTTGTCCTGGTAGGAAGAGCAAAAAAGAATCCGAGTACTAGTATACGGCTTGCCTGCTTGCTCTTGCTTGTGCGTGCCTTTGAGAGTTATCGATACATTTCAGACTTGAACATCGTTTTTTAGTATAGCGTGACCGTCTGTCCTGTGCCTGTCGGAGTCTGGTGCGAAGATCTGTGTGCGGGAAGGGAACGAGACATGGCGCCCACGATGGCTCCTCCTGCAGCGTCTCCCGTGGTCGTGAGCAGCGTGCCATCCGACGGACAGACCCGGGAGTACATTTACCGATCGAAACTCCCAGACATTGAGATCGATAACAACCAGAACTTGGCTCGCTACTCTCTCGAGAAAGTTGGTGATCACCTCGACCGTCCTGCTCTGATAGACGGCACTACTGGTTTAGAGTACACATACAGAGAAACGGAGCTCCTGACAAGGAAGATAGCGGCAGGATTAAATAATCTGGGCATTCAAAAAGGCGATGTGCTTGCTCTTCTGCTCCCCAATTGCTGCGAATTCGTGCTCGTGTTCCTGGGGTCGGCTATCCGGGGCTCTATCGTCACTACTGCCAACCCGTTCTACACTCCTGGCGAGATTGCCAAGCAGTTGAACGCCTGCCGAACGAAGCTCATAGTCACTCAGGCGTCCTACGTAGACAAGGTGCGGGATTTGGGCTGCACAATTGTGACAATTGATTCTCCCCCGGAAGGGTGCCTTCCCATGAGCGTTCTGATGGAAGCGGACGAGAACGACTGCCCGCAAGTGGAAGTGGACCCCGACGATGTAGTGTGCCTCCCGTATTCCTCGGGAACTACAGGTCTGCCCAAGGGTGTGATGCTCACGCACAAGAGCTTAATCTCGTCGGTCGCGCAGCAAGTGGATGGCGAGAACCCCAACCTGAACATTGTGGCAGACGACGTGATGGTGTGCTTGCTGCCCATGTTCCACATCTACAGCCTCAACTCGGTCCTGCTCTGCTCCCTGAGGGTGTGCTGCACTCTCGTCATCATGCACAAATACGAGATTTCGCAGCTGCTGGAGCTTATCCAGAAGTACCGCGTCACCGTGCTTCCCGTCGTTCCGCCCATCGTGCTGGGCATTGCGAAGAGCCCGATCGTCGGGAACTACGACGTCAGCTCCGTCAAGGTGGTGCTCTCTGGAGCTGCTCCCCTCGGCAAGGATCTCGAAGACGCCTTCATCGCCAAGCTTCCTGGTGCCGTCATTGGACAGGTAGTTCGCTCTCTAGTGGCTCCCCTCTATCCGCTCTTGGCTTGGATTAGTCTTTCCCGGGTATACCCGATGACCTTCGCTCGGCAGGGAATCTGTGTCCTTTTCCACCACTCGATTCCGTAAGCAAGCTCCTGATGCCGCCTCAGCGGCCACGGTTCTGTCGTAGTCGCTGACTATCCGTAGGTTTCATTTTTGGTAATGCTCTTTCCTGGAATATATCTCGCGGATTTCCAGCATGTTTGTGATTAGATGTTGCTCTCGCCGAGTACTCAAATCCGCATTGCTGTCTTCTCTTTTGACTCAGTTTTCATAGCTTAGCAACTCTCAGCCTCTAGACGAAAGGATACGACGAGTCGGTGGAGACAGCCACCAAGTCACACGGAAGTTGTCGATGGACTGTGCTTCATGGATTGGCTTTGCTCTTTACGAATTTTACGCACAGCTGGCTGACCACGACTAACTCTCGCATTCTTTTTTTCTATCAGGGGTACGGGATGACCGAGGCAGGTCCAGTGCTGTCTATGTGTTTGGCTTTTGCCAAGGACCCTTACCCTGTAAAGCCAGGTTCCTGCGGGACTGTTGTCAGAAATGCCGAGGTCAAGATTGTGGATCCGGAGACAGGCGATTCACTTCCTCACGGACAAGCTGGTGAAATCTGCATCCGAGGACCTCAAATCATGAAAGGTATTTCATGATTTCCTCTTCGTACTGGCTAGCATGCAGTAATTCGTACCGCTCGAACGGAAACGATGATTTTATTCTGTGGGCCGGTCAGTTTAGCGCGTCGATACAATGATCTGCTCTCCAATGCCACATGGGTAGTGAAACCACTGAAGTAAGAGTACGGGCTGTTTTCTTTAGTTGGCCCCATAAGTATTTGGGCTTAACTCATGCATCCTGTTCAGGCTATCTCGACAATCCCGAGGCTACTGCCAATACCGTTGACAAGGAGGGATGGCTTCATACTGGCGACATTGCTCTGATTGACAGTGACGAAGAAGTTTTCATCGTCGATCGTGTGAAGGAAATTATCAAATTCAAGGGCTTCCAGGTAAAGATTCATACATATCCGAAGTCTGGTAACACTATGTACTTTCGAGAATAGAGTTGGCACTTTGTTTTAAGCTGTGAAGACACTCCTACGTTCACTTGTCACTTATATTTTCTGACACTTGAAAGCCACTCGATTTTTAAGCAATCTATTGGAAATTTTGTTTGTGGCACCAGGTCCCACCGGCTGAGTTGGAAGGAATTCTTGTGTCTCATCCGCTGATCACTGACGCTGCCGTTGTACCGTAAGTTTAACTCAAGCTTAAATTGACAGTTGATTGAAAAGTTGCACACATGTCCAATTGTAAGCAATTATGATATATTCTACTTCCCATTCATACGATATAGGGAAATCAATGAACCAACGTGAAAATTAATTTCGAGCCATCTCCGCTGCGATCTTAGCGAAATCTTGACATAAATGTAGGAGTTTTTTGAATCATGTCAGGTACTTGAATATGTCCGCTTTTTAACGTGTGCAGCAAGAAAGATGAGGGAGCTGGAGAAGTACCCGTAGCCTTCGTTGTGAAAGCTAAGGACGCTGTTCTTACGGAAGATGATGTCAAAACCTTCGTAGCAAAGCAGGTAAGTACTGGTCATTGTTTCATTCGTATGGTGCTGAACTTGAGCAAAATGAAGGGAAATGAACCAGTCGGCTCGAATTGCTCATCAGAAAATATTAGGGGTCGCAAATCCTGCTTTATGTTGCTTGAAAGAGGCGGCAGGGTAGGTCAATGGGACTGCATCTTCGTTTCGCCAAGAATGATCTGCTGGATCGAAGGCTCGACTTTCGTACCTTGGTTAAGGAATTCAACCACGCACAACCTCACCCATTTCGGATGTTCCCCATGTGCAGGTCGTTTTCTACAAGAAATTGCACTCGGTAATTTTTGTAGATTCGATTCCGAAGAGTCCGTCCGGTAAAATTTTACGAAAAGACTTGAGATGCCTCGTTTAAAGCATATACGAAAACTTACAGACCTAGTTAGTTAGTCCATTTATAGCAGGGCTGGCCGACTACAAACATGCCAGCCATCCTGACTGACAGTCAATCACAACACCTCCTCGGAGAGCCAGGAGAGCCACGGAGGAGGTGAGAGAAAAGACCAGCTGCGGATTGTTAGTTACTACGAGATGAAGCAAGCCAACGATAGTGTCACTCACGGAGAGCAACAGCACCACTGAAGACCATTAAATGCTCTGTTAAGAACACTGAGCATGTGTATGAGTATTGCTGGATTTTGTAAATTCGCTGGGCATGCAATAGTGCTCCAAACTTGTACCTCCAATTAATTACATAGGAACAGATATAAGACAGTGCACATTGGCACTGCAGAATAAAACACTACCACCTTTAAGCATTGACACTTCTCTTGCTCATGTATGCCTCGCCCACCCCGATGTGTTTTTCGGCATTATTCGTGTGTACTCGGTGAAGAGATTCTCCTCATTTTTCATACCCTGGTAGTCAAATCGCTTTGAGTATTATCCGTTCAAGATTGTATCTTCTCCACAGCACGAGTACTTCGTGCTCTACTTCTGATTTGACCTTTCATGATCATCCAATGTTCGTTCAAGCCTCAATTTATGTTCGTCTCGATGAAAGCAGAATTTAAAGAATGGTAGTCAGCACCACGCGATAACAGGCTTTGGTGAAATTTGTCGAGGTACGCTGAGCAAAGCTGATTAATCTGTACTTGCCTCCTGATTCTTTCCAGCAAGGCTTCTTCCAATGTTTAGGAAGTAGAGATTGTGTTGTTCTGATCATGGATCTCCTGCTCTACCTGACTCTACCTTTGGGGACTGAGGTAGAGGAGGGCTCCCAGTAGGTATACAGTCCATGACCTTCTAGTAGTTCCGACTGATGATGCCCTAGTGACTCCATGGAGGTTTCTTCTGTTTGTTTTATGTCCATGGCCTCAGATTTGCATGCATTTTACTAGTTGCAGGTTTTGCGAATCCAAGGACCAACAATCACTAAAACCTTTGAACACTTTGTGCAAACTAGAGCAGTTGGCTTCTGCACTGTACTGTACCCGAATATTAATAGCCTCAGGATCGACAATGAAAGTGCAGACGTCCTGCTCATGCGTTTCTTGTGTTGGCGAATAAAGTAGAACCACCAAGACGGGCCGTGGCACTGCGAATGGGGTCCGTTGATTTAAGAATCAGGAATCAGTGTGAAATGCTATGCCATCACGTGCTACAACTTTTCCGCTTCAATTATAATATCATGGCTGCCCGAAATGTTTAACAGCAACAATTAGGTCCGCAGCTGTAAAATGCACTGTACTCAAGCTTGTAGTCTGGAGCTTTATGGAATGTACAAGCTTGAGTACATTCCATAAAGCTCTTGTAGCTAAGAAAGTGTCCACTTTGCAGTGCGCCAGGCATGCAATACAACAAAAGCCGGTGAATACGCGCGACTGACGCCAACCACAATCTTCACTAATATTCAAAAACTTATGAGGCCATAAGCTATGAGAATGCCACGAACATTCGTCTCGCTCCTTGACATCGAAGCGACTGCAGGAAATTTGTGGACAGTGTAGTGGGCTTTGCAACATTCCTGCCTAGTACCAGAAGACCCTGACATCTTGTCTCATATATTTTCAAGTCTGAGTAGGAAACATTGAGTTCAGTCCTCCAAGTGAACATTCAGTAAAGCTGTAACTGGAAAATGCAAAAGAGAGAGTCACATAGTGTCGTCCAGCGGCTGGGCAGTAAGGTTGCCTCTAAGAGTGAAACAGTAAGACTCTATCCAACACATTCCAGCTCAACCACGATCACCCAAAAATCCCGTTTTTACAAAGTAGGGTCGCCCCGAGTGAAAGAACTATATATATCAGCCTCGAACACTTTCCTCTCGGTGGCGAGCCGTAAACCCTCACGTACATAGTTTATGAAACTTTTAGTTGGTGATATATCAGAACGCCTAGCTTGTTAATTAGAGTTATACTCAGACATATGCGTACTGCATGGGATCGAGTCTAGATGAAATGACCCAGCTGCCTCGGAATGTATGTCAAAATTTGCAGTAAGATGGTATCTATCAAATCTGCTCCCTACTCTACGGGGGCGTTTCTACTTCTGGCTACTTTATGATGCAAGTCAACGTGGAGAGGTCTTTCTTACTCCATATATTTGCTTCAACACCGTCTGCAGAATTGCAGTAAGTTCATAGAGGACGTCTGACAAACCTACGTTCACCTACCACCTGGATCATTCAAGTTCTATCATCCAATTTTCAGCACACATGAAGAAACTTCAAAGCTGAAACATGTAAATACTCTATCCGTATATACCCAGCTCAGTCAAACCAGTGGTACTGTGATATTACGAATGGATGATGGAGATACGATTTTATTACACTTGACCTCTACATTGTACTGTACATTTTGCTGTCAGGACGCGAATCTACCTGGAATCCTCGTCAATTTACTGCTGCTGCATTGACTTTGGTGACGTAGGTTTGGGTTATTATTCCTTGGCTACAATATAGGTTTTTGACAATCATTGTTGAGCATGTGGACAAAGCAGTACAGCCGATCCCCTTCGATGGAAGGCCAGGCTACATGAGTCATGTAGCTAGACGAAAACAAAGTAAAAAGAATGGTAAAAACACATTGGGGAAAAACAGTTTAATATATAAGGGGCCAAGTAAAATAGCAAAAAGTATTCGATCACCAGTCTAGCACATCCTCGTATGAGACCAAAATTTAATAGTTTCGATTTACATAATTTTTTTGGACATAATAATAATTTCGAGAAAATTGTTATCTTGTAAGAGTATAAATTTTTTAATTTTTAATCTTATCAAAGCATGTTTTCATTAAAATAATTTCATCATTTGGATGTAGAAATAATGTCTCATATTATGACTGGTTTATAAATAAAAACCAATTTGAATCATCGTTGATATACTGAATTTATATTTTAAAATTATATTATCAGTATAATTTTTTTCCACAAAGATGATTGAAAGGTATTTATTTTTTTTAGAAGTGAAACTTAGAAATTCGTAAATATATATTATATGATTTTTATTTTTATTTTTTTCTGTTTGATTTTGATAAATTATTAAAATCCTGTGATTTTGATAAATTATTAAATTTCCTGTGATCATATTAAAAAATTTCTTTCGAATCATTAATAAAATGATATTCATTTTACTATTTTGATAATTTTGGTGAATCATAAGATAATAAATTATGCTATCATAAACAATATATTCATTCGTTCAAAAATTGTTATTTGGCTAAGTCATATTTTGAAACTGCGTCAAAAGATAACATAGATCTATGCTGCCGTTAACCAACATGAACTAAGTATATTAGCATTCATAATTATCACATACACACCTAAAAATCATTTGATGTTCAATTTAATTTATTTAATGATATCTCACAAGAAAATTCCATAATAATCAAAAAATCAATAAGCAGAACTCTATGTTAATTATGAATAATATACTAAGAATGACTGAATATTATAGTTTTTATATGGTGTGATAGAATAGTTCTTTAAGAATTAATTTTTCTTCTAAATTATTAAATATTTTCTAACACGCATGTATATCATAACTATATGTTATAGTATACCTGGACGAACCTTGTAGCTGCCTGAATATACATCCATAAATAAATTAGAGCATGTATTAATAAGTTACTATTCTCATTGATAATTCAAAATGACTATCCACAAGTATGGTTGGAGGCACAGGAAAATATTTTGAGTCACGTCTATGCCCCATTTCACGGTCAAAAGGCATGCCCCATGCCCCCAAGCATGCCCGTATTGAAATACGTACATTTGTCGTATTTGAAAATATACATCTATGAGAATAAAACATTTTTAGAAGTAAAACTGTTGAAAAGTTCCAGAAAATACAAATTAATTTCTTTGTACAACAAGGCATGCCCCCTTGCCCTCGCCCCGAGGCATACCCCTTGAGGTTGTGCCTCCAACCCTATCCACAAGTGTAACCATCTTTAGTTAGTTAGAACTAAAGTAGATGTTACTCTAAATATTGATATAGATATTTTATTGTGCACTAGTGATAGCTGCCACGTCAGCGATCCGCACACTTGGTAGATATAGAGTGGATTTGTTAGTTAATAGGGTTTAGGGTGTGTTAAATAGTGTGTTAGTTGGGAGCGTCACGTCAGCGATCCGTGTGCTGGTTAGAGTTATCCACCACGTCATCCATTCACTAGGAGTGGGATGGATAGTGGGGATAAGATATTATCTCCTTGTACTTGTTGGTGAGAGCTATATAAGGGAGATGAGAACCATTGTTGGTATCTCTCATCTTCAGAATTTACGTATCTATCTTCGAGTGAACTTTTCTCAAAACTCTATTGTTACAACAAGACACATTTTAAATCATTTAAACTAAAATAAAAATAGTACTAATATAATAATTTGTTGAAATTGAAAATTTGCTATTACATTACAATATCTTGTTAGTCATGCAAAAGTTGCTTTAGCTAAAAAATTGATTTAATAATATGTTAGTTGAATTCTATCTTGAATAAACTCAAGTTAGTGATAATCATAGTTAAAATAGTTAATTGTGGTGAGATGAGCTAAGATGTGCACATTATCTCTTCTTGTATAGAAGAGAAAAGTAGTCATTCAATAAGTACAATTCAGAGTTGTACTTTGAGAGTGAACATGAAGTAGTAGAGCTTGGCTATGGAGTTCGTGTATACAACGGTGTTGTAGTGAAGTTTCTACTCTTGCCCATATACGTAGCCTGTGGAGTATGAATCACGTTATCTAGGTGTTATGGCTCTCGTGCGTGCTGATTAATCTTGATGGTTGGACCTTTCAATTGGTATTAGAGATAACTCAATACACTTAAATTTTTTATTTACACGATATTTTTAAATACTAAAGAGCGCGAAAGCGTTGTCAAATTTGTACTCGCAATTTGAAGTAATTGTTATTTTCTACAGAAGAGTAGCCAAAGTTATTGATTACACTTTGATGAAAGAAAGAAATAGTTTCATAGAGTGATTAGAGAGATTTTTTGAAATTTGAAGTAGTGAAATCTTTTACATTGTAAAGTATGAGAAATTGTTGTGATTTCTCAAAATGTGAATGTTTCATCATTATATTTTTTTTAATTTTCACACATAGACTTGATCTACTCTTTGAGACAATATTTTTGAGCTAAATTTTGTTGAGAGATCTCGAAGTTATGGATGTTTGAAGATTGGGGTCAAAATTGGTTATGGTGATTTCACAAGGACGCGAATTCGGAGTTATGAACCGTGGATTTAGAATTTGAGGAATTTTGGGCGCGACACAAAATTACTCAGATCGGAAGAAAGAAGAAAGTGTTCACGTGAACTTCATAGGG